AGATTAAGGCCAATGTTACATTTGTCCGTTTATGTACAATTTTTTAAGGTTAAAAATTTGTCATATGACAGACAATATTAGCCCAACTCCTGTTATTTCTATACAGAGAACAAATTGTATTTATCTCTCTTATGCTACATCATCATCATAATTACCTCAGAGCCACTGAACAATATTTTACATTTTTTCCATGCATCATCTGTAGAAACCTTGTGTTCAACAAAACATTTAAGCTGCTCGCCTAATTTAGCCATAAAAAGTGTTCCTGGGGTTATGCAATTTGAGTCGAATCTCTTCTCTTTGGGTATTGGAATACCCTTGGACTTGGCTTTAGCCTCTTGCACCTCGGCATCCTTAGCGGCTCTGAAACGCCGGCCCCTCTGTTGATTGATTTTTGCTCTGGGCGCGACGCCATCGATCGCCATAAAAAACAATTTCTGTGGGCGGATCATGTTAAATAGCACCTCTATATAGTGAAATATATTTTTAAAAATCATCTCCTCGGAGATGCGGAAGCAGACGTCATCGTTGGGATGGGAACATGTATGTATAATACCGTTCATATCCAAATATAAATAATCAAATTCTGGTATCTGGGAACAAAGAAAGAAACAAACAACAGTTATATTATGATTACTGTACAAAGCTGTAAAAACAGTTTTTTTTATCAAAATATTTGAAAAAATAAAAATCTTGCTTGGGTATAACAAAAAAAGGAAGACGAAGGAGAGTGATAAGGCGAGCAAAAAGGTAAGTCTCATCGCTTCAGGATTTACAATGCTTTTTTTTTCTCCTCTCACCCCCCATCCAATACCTGATGTTCCTTTACGACCTCGCTGAGACAGGGATATCTCTCACTTATGTATCTGAAGAATTTCGGCACACCCATCGTGAGGCCTCACTTCAACGTCGAAATAAACGTGTTACCTCGGATAATTCTGTGTCCGCAGCGAACGCTTCGCGCGTTAAAGTCGTTCTACCAAAATCAAAGATTTTGCTCGCGAGTACGTATATCAACTTTGCTTCGACAGTAACATTTGTCCGCGGATCGTCCATGCAGTATAGAGGGGAAGACGAGTGCGGGAATCCCGTATCGGATTGCCCCGGGAATCCTGGGAATCCTTCAAGCGGGGAGCGATTATATTGGCCGTAACATTACGACGTATATCGTAATTTGTAAAAATTGACCAATCATCTTTGAGTATTCCCTTCTTACAGTCGAATGGGAGGGGGAATACTCGACTGTGATTAGTCGATTTTTTACAGATTACGGCATACAGTCATTATAAACACTCCCTTATTTTTATGAAGCGCCATTGGAAAGGGGAGGGGAAGAACTTGCTGGATTGCGTAATTCGACTGTCTGCGTTTAGCAATTAGATTCAACAATTGAGTGAACGCTCATTGACCCGTGTTCGCCATATTTTGCGGATCGGAAAAGGTATTCGGTACCATCATATTTTAGTGACGGTGCTCGTTTACCGATTTAATCGGACGTGTTAATAGTTGCTTTCCATTTACACACAAGTGAAACTGAATCTGAAGTGAGCCGAGTATCTTATACTCATATTAATGACGTCATTACTTGCTTACTTTGGTAGAAAGTTATCACATGTCAATACAGGTTCGTAACCTCACTTTGAGTTTACGAGACTCACTAGCACACGGTCTCGATCTTATGCAGATTATGGGTAAAAACTCAGTTGAATCTCACTTGTCAGAACGCAAAAGGAACGCGCATTCAACTGAGTTATGACGTCACAAGTGAGAATTATCTGAGAATCGGTGTAAATGGAAAGCAGTTATTACGTCATCATTTTTGGAAAGTGTGATCTAGGCCGGTATTCATAGTCGAAGCTCAAGGCAGCGCTTATTAATTCCGATGGATTTTACTTCGATCATCGGAATCCTGTTTTCTGATTGGTTTGCAGTGCGTCGTACGACGCAAATCGGATGCAGGGTGAATCCAGCATTATTGTATGAAGACTGTCTTTAAGGGTGCGTTCGTAAACCTTACCCTGCGAGGTACGGGTAAATTTTGTGGGGAATGTACGGTGACAGTTTGAGGAACAGGTTAACATCCTACAGTTTATGAACGATCTGGAATAACCTGCATAGCTTTTATAGAGTGTTCTATCATTATTATAAAAAGTAATGATAAAAAAGTAACGACATTACTTTCTTCTCATCTGTGGTAAAGGTACATAATATATGTAACATTTAAGAGTAAAAAAAGAATATTATATATACTAATTTTATATTTTTCTATGAATAGATAAATATATAGATATGTTCTTTTTAAACAATAAATTAAAATATTTAAATGTTCAATTGTTTTGTTATATCTTTTTAATTTGTTAACAGATTATTATATATATTGTGAAAAAGAACATGAGTAACGACAGAGAGAAGTTTAAAAAAGTAATCACTACCATGTTACTATCAAAAAAAAGACTTTTGTCTTTATACGAATTAGATTTCAGTTCATCATCTGATAGTGAAACAGAAATTTTGTTAACACTTTGCTCAGAACAAAAGAAGAACAAGGTCAATCGAATCCAACACTACGTTGAACAAATTGTTCATCATTTCAACAACAAAGAATTTCAGGCAAATTTTAGAATCACGCGTGAAGCCTTTCAAAGTTTACTCACTATCGTTGGTCCGAAGATAGAAAATTCTACTGGAACTGGGAGACCAGTGGTTCCAGTTGAGAAGCAATTATTAGCAACAATATGGCTCTTAGCGACGCCAGATTCTTATAGGTATGTATGCTAGCATTATGTTTATTTGTATAATTATTGTACATATATAGCATCAATTTTTATCGAAAATAAATTTTCACTTTTTAACAACTCTTTGATTAAGACAGAAAATTTCACTGTAAAATTTCCAAAAAGTATCTGAATTAATCGTATAAGCTACTATTAATATATTTGTCAAATTATAGTTGATGTTCATTCATGTCAACAGATCAATCTGCGAAAGATTTGATTTAAGCAAATCTACATTGTTTTCCTGTTTTGTTCGAGTTATGAAAGCTTTAAATGAGATTGCACCGCATGTGATTCATTGGCCAACAGAACAAGAACTTCCATCAATAAAAGAAAAATTTAAAGCTATGGCTGGAATCGATAATGTTATAGGTGCTCTCGATGGGACATATGTGCCAATTAAAGCACCATCAAAGGATACTGAAACATACAGAAATCGCAAAATGCAACATGCCATAACGCTACAGGCAATATGTGATGCCAATTTAAAATTCATAGACTGTTTCGCAGGTTATCCTAGTTCAGTACATGATGCTAGAATTTTTAGAAATTCTGATATTTATCATTCTATACGTCAAAATCCAGATAAATATTTTCCACATGGAGAATTTATTTTAGCTGATAAAGCTTATCCTACTTTCAAGTGGTGTATTACGCCATATATGAATCGAGGAAATTTAACAAGACAGCAGGAAAATTTTAAGACACGCGTTTCGCAGACAAGA